CTGTATTTACATAAATATATGTATTTAGCCAGTCACCTGGTCTGAATCACTTCATGATTATGCAAAATAGTTCAATTACTACAGCATGGGAGTAAATTAACATTGGGCTAACAATTACTGCAATTCATTTCTACTACAACTAAGTTTTATATAGTTATTTTATAAACTTATTTATAAACTGATTTTAGAAACTGGATTTACCTTGAATCCAGCAGGCTTTATAAACTGAGTAGAATGAGGATTTGATGCCTTTTAAAAACCTGGGCTTCAGGCTTAAGTTCCCTGGAGTCAACAGGCTCTAAATACCCACATCCTACAGCTAATTTGAACAGCTTATCAGTAAGGTTCCTTCTATCAGAAAAAAATGCTAAAAATAAAAGTCAGTAGCATTTAAAATCTAACCACAATATTTCACAAACTCCTGCTTGTTTTTCCAACTTTCATGAGAAAGGCTGGATGAAAAAGTCAATGGGATATTGTGAAAGAGATACTTCTGTAAAAAAAAAATAAATTTGTTTTATCAATTGTAAAACCTTCAGTTTTAGTATAGTCTTTTTGATAACTTGGCAAGTTCCTGTATGAGGCAGCTTTTACCAGAAAGACAAGTGCTGATCATAATTAAGCTTAGAACATCAATATCTTCATCTCTGCTGCATAATCACTGAGTTCCAGCCCCCCCCATCACTACACATGATCAATGTAGGACATCTGAAAACTCAGAAAACCCCATAATATGCTCAAATAACATCTATCAGTCAATGATATTTATTCTTGAAAGACTCAACTATTCCACTCCACAGACAGATTCCTAAATGGCACATGGAAATAAGCAGCTTTAGCTGCTGCTCTTCTCTGGAGCCCATGGAATATAAATATGTCTCTCCTTTGAAGGGTGATAGCAGTTAATCCATGAAAACCTACTGTCTCAAAAGAGTATTTTAAGTGACTTTGCTGTAAGTTACCCAACAGGAAATTATATTTTCCTTTTCCCATCTAATTTCATGCAGTTTCCAACAAAAGCAGATTTTCCCGGGGTGAATGGGGAACTGATCTTGCACAGAAGGCAGGTGAGCTCCTCCTGGAGTGAGGTTTGCAACCTGCTGGGAGCACTGGAAGAGAATGATACCTGATAAAATTCTCTGTCCAAAAGGTCACATCTACCTAGGAAACAATGAAAACATCTAATTGCAATATTAATTTATTAGATGTTACTAATAATGGAAATACTTGGGGTTTTAAAAATGAAAAATGAAATTTCAATAAAATTTTAAAAATGAAATTTTTAAAATGAAATTTTAAAAATGCAATTTTACTGAGTGGCAACACAAACTTAAGTTCATTGAGGTTGCCAAGGAACTGAGTGTGAGCCTGGTGTGTGCTGCATCACCACAGGGATGTCTGGATCAGAACACAGAGGACAAGGTAAGTGTTTGATATTTGGAGGTCCTGACCTGATCCAGCCTTTCCAAATTAAATTATTATGTCATGTAAAAATCTCCAAATAATCCTACTGCAATATTTTCCCCGCTTGGGAATTGAACTTTTTCCATCACCACCCCGACATGTCAACGTGAAGCAATCAAAATGGGAGAATTTTGAATTCTAGCAAGAAAGCAGAATCTCTGTGCTGGGCAGGGAGGACTCTGGGAAGCGGTGACGTGAGGGTCCCCATGGCCTCTGTCCCTGATGACCCAGTTCTGATGTGATTTATGTGGGCTCGCAGCTGCCCTTGCTCCGACCCCAGAGGAGCTGTGTGGGAAGTTGGTGTCTCGGAGCCGCAGCGTGGCTCTGCCGAGTGTCTGGAGCCCAGGGTGTGCACACAAACTGATAAATAGGGAAAGGCCTGCTTGGCTCCAGCTGGAGCAGAGCTGGGACCAGCACTGCAGCCCCACGGACCCCGCGGCAGGACAGGAGTTCCCTGCAGCCACCGTGAGTATTTCATTCCCTTCTCTGCATGCTCTGAGGTTAGAAATTGCTACTTGAGCCATACAGCCAATTTGCCGTGTGAGAATATTCCAGGCACTGGGCTTTTTTCTTCTTTACCTCCTTTTTTCTTTCTTTTTAAACATCTGACTAAATGAAAACACGCACTTTTAAATCTGGTATTCTACTGCCGAGGATTTTTTCCAACAGTACTTTGTTTGACACACAGAGTGAAGAAAAACAACTTTTAAATTCAATTATTTGTTTCCCTTCCCAAAAGTACCCGGAAAACTGAGAGTTTCAAAAAACCTCTAACCTCTAGGAACACATTTAATAACAAGAAAAGTGGAATTTCTTCAAAGAGCAGCTCTGAGGAGCTTCTTGACACATTAAAACCAGGAGGAACAGAAAACCCTTTAATAATGCATGTAAGCTGCATACAGGATCAATCAAGTGATCCTAGAATTTCCCCTGCAAAATCATTCTTTAATTAAGCAGTGATTACTGAATTGCTTGAGTGAAATTGAATAGATCAGCTGGCATCACATCTACTTGCCACTGATTATGCTCAGTTCCTTTTTTTTTTTCAGTGTTTGGCTTAAATTTTCACAAATTAAAAAAAAAAATGCTTTGCCTTCCAGCTGCAAGTGAAGTACAGTGATTAAACCCAAGCCTGAAATGTGCTCTGAGCTCCACTACGTGACCACTAACGTGCCCCAAGGTGTGTTAAATAGATGGTGAAGACATTCAGCTGAAGTTCCTAAAATTCCCTGTAAACAAGAAATTTCCCCATGACTCAACTGTCAAAATATTTACGATAGCAGCTAAAGCACTGTCAGTTCCAACCTCTGAAAGGGTTCCCTGTGGCCCTACTCCATGAAGGATGTTTTGTATCCCAATAAATTTGATAAGTTGGTGATATGTTGCTTTATGATATGGGGTTTTATAGCAATAAAAATGATAAACCCCACATCTTTCACAATAAATAGAAATAAATAGACGTACAGTTCAGATTCTAGTCTGAATGTGTATATTCTATTTATGGTTCTACTTTACTTTTATCAATCAATGGCTTTTTTTTTTTTCTTCAGTCGATTCTGTTTTTGATAAATTGTCAAGTCTTTCAGTTGGGACTAAAAACTAAATTTCTGCATGAGATGGATAACCAAGTCCTTGAATCAACACGCTCTGGTTTGTACTGAGCGTTTATAGTTCAGAAGATGAGCACTGGCAAAACTAAGCCTGTAAAAGCACATTTTCAAATGTGCTCAAGCCACCTTGAGTGTAGGTCACCTCTTCCAAAAAACACCATTCCCCTCACCTGGTCAGGACTTTACTTGTGAAAATGCCCAGTAGAAGAAGGAAAAGCAGGAACGCGTGTGCTTTATGCAGTTAACATTTTCTGTCAGCTCAGCCCGTGTGACTGAGGACTGAAGGCTCCCACCCTATGTGTGTTACTGCTTGGGATGCTACAAAATAAGACATTAAAAAATTCATCTTTTGTTCCCAGTTATTTCCACTTTTTAGGCTAAAAATCTTTATGCGTCCTCTTTGGGAATGTATTTAGATTTTTGCTTCCTTTTAAAGCATTCATGCACAAACAAATATCAGGAATACACAGAAAAGATAAAAAGGGACACAAAACATTTTGTTTTGGGAATGGCACAGCTTCAACTGCCCCAAACATCTAAACCCATTGCTCCATTCTTATCTCAACTTTGTTCCAGTTACTGTTTTGGACATTACACCTGGGCATGTCTGGTACCTTCTGTCAGGAGCTTCACCGTGCTGGGCACGTGCAGAGGTCGCTTGCCTGGCAAAGGGTTAATGAGTGTCTGTGTGGGCTGGGGAAGTGTGGGGCAGGTCAGGCTCAGTCCCATGAGGTGTAGGGGATTTGGGATGGCCACAGAGCCTTGGGTAGAGCAGCACATGGATCATGGAATCCCAGGCACTGCTGCAGTTTGGAGGAGGCTTCCCTGCTGCTGCCTCACTCACCAGGGGGGAGGCAAAGGTTGGGAAACTCTACTCTCGCAGTCACTCATAAAAAATCAAAACTTGTCTGGCCTAGGAAATGAAGTTCCTTCCTTACATATCTTATTCTCTTATTTCTTTCTTTCTTTCTTTCTTTTTTTCTTTCCTTTTCTGCTTTAAAAAGTCCAATGTTTTGTTTGATCAGAAGAACAAGCTTGTCAACACTAAATTCTCAAATGTCAGAAAATGAAACTCTTAATGTTTATGCATAAGTCTTGTTCTAAGACAGTAGAGCATTCCTCAGATAACCATTAGATTTACTATTCCCACTGTTCTAACATCCTCTTAATTTAAGATTTTAGTTTACAAAGTCTCAGTCTTAGCTGGAAATTTTGTAAGTTCAACTGGTTACTGTTATTAGCCATAAAAATCAGTAAGAAGGGCTGAATCCTTTCTCATATAATACCTAAGCTGAGGAAAGTTTGTCTAAGGAAAATCTACTTCCAAGATTTAGAACATTTAAGAAATCAACCACCTTACATTTGATACTTCATACTCCCAATACACTGTTTTTATTAGACTGGATCAGTGTAATTTTTTTAATCTACTATTCAATTATGACTTTTATTTAAAGAAACCACTGGAATTCAGAAACACATTTCTTCAGCAAACACACATTTTTGGGAAGAAATGTGGACTTTGCCCAGGCCAAATTGATCTAACTGATAAGACCTCATGATTCAGTGACTTATTTTGCTCTCAAACAAATATTTACTAGCAGAGATAACAAACCCCCAGCATTCCAGCTTCACTGCATCCTTTCACCTTCTGCTGACAGCACAAAGCGAAAGCGGTCAGCCCCAAAGCTCTGTCCAGTTTGGGGGAAGGGATGTGTGTTATTTCAGATTCCCTGGGGTGATCCATTCATTGTCTCATCTGCAGCAAGGTGCAGATATAGCACAAACCCCTTCCTTCAAGGAAGGTCTTTGAATCCAACTTGCTGTGAATTCTGCAGAGAATTCCATTGCACGAGTGGCTTTGCTGTATTTTCCAAATCCTTCTGTGCAATTTTCATCTTCTGTATCCTTCCTGTCTGCTCAGGGAAAGCCTGTGAGTGGTTCATGGGCAAATTATTTCTTACAGCCTTTGCTCAGTGGGCATCAGGCTCAGCAAAGGTTTAACCTGTGGCCACACCCCATGCAACCCATGCAGAGGAACAAGGGGGCAAGGAAAATATTCCTACTTATTCCTCCAATGGAAACTGTGTTAGCTCTCAGTTCTAAGCAATACCAGGAGTTTGCTGTAGGTATATAAATTCAAACCCAGCTCATGCATGGTAGAAGTCCATACAGACTTTTCTTTAGGAGTTTTTAGAGCACCCTTTTTTGGAACATCTCTTGTAATTTTAATTTATAAGTCAAATTACTGAAAAATGAGGTAAATTTTGAACTCCAAGCATAGCAGCTCTTCTCATTATATTACTGTGAGCTCTCAGTGCATTTTGTTATGGGGAATGTCAGTGAATCCAGCCAGGAGCCCAGGCTCATTCAATGACCAAGGGACAGTGGAAAGCTCTTTAGAGGCAGCACATCCTATAGGAAATCAGTATATTTAGTCTTCATTGAAAACTTTACACTGTTAAAGGAACACAGGAAGGGTAATTCAGGCAGTGCTTAAGCAAGGCAAATTTGAGTTTTACTGCATAAACGAGTACTTATATGACAAAGATAACATGCTGGCCTTTCTATGCTATTTTCCTTGCTTCAACTCTGCATAAAAAGTAATGAAATAAACTCATTAAAAGCCCATCTTTGTGCACAAACAGGACAGCCCCACATCTACTCCAGAGCAAATGCTCCAATTCATGCTCAAAGCAAATTCATTCTATTCAGTGAAGCTCCTTTTAACTTTCTCTGAACTAGAGAATTTACCAGTGATTAGTCCTATTACCCCACATGGTATTGTGTAAAACTCAGAGCAAAACACTTCTAACTATAACTTGGAAATTTAGGAAAGAGTTTTAACCTGAATGTGTAATATCAGGATACTCAAACATTCTGTAGTCTCATTGAGGGTGTTATGTGACTTCACACAGACATCTGATTTTCTTATGATCTGAAAACTCTGCCATATTCTGGAGTTTTCTAGCTCTGTGTCTAACCCTACCCAGCAATTCTTTCCCATGGGATGTTTCTCTTCCTTTCCCCATTCCCCAGATTGCTGTTTCAAGGCTGATCTCACAGCAGAGTGGATGAAGCAGTGCAGCTGGGAGCAGAGCATGGCCAACACGTTTGTCACCGTCCCTGACGGGTATGGCCTTCCCGAGCCCATCCAATACTACGGTGAGTGAAGCAAGTTTTGTACTCTGCAAATACGGCAAAATGAACTCCTGTAGGAATTTCTTTCTCTCTTTTTTTTTTTTTCCTTGATTTTAATTTGTCTCTAAAGCACTTGAAAGCTCTTACTGAAAGTGTATTGAAATCTATTACTGTATGCTTATACAGACTTTAGAGAACAATGTGATTATTCTGACTGAGCATTCCATATACACTTCCCCAATACTGTCTCCCTTTGATCTGCATGGAGAAGACACAGGTTTTGTTACAGTATTCCAGATACATTATAAATAGATAATGCCTGTTCTATATCTTATGTAATTATAATTGCAATAACTATTTTGATTCTGGAAGACTAAACGCAGGACCCAAATCCCACTAAAAGGAAAAAACCCTCCAAACTGTTTAAAAAAATCTTTCCAATTTGTTTTTATAGAGATCTTAATAATCCCAGAGGAAGAATGAAATATGATGCATGTTGCACAGGCTTTCTTTGGTATAGCTGTGTGTATTTAAGGGAGGCTGGATAAAAAACTCAACAGACAGAAAGGCAGGAAGAAACTCTCTTTGCAATTCTGTACCTACATTTTACTAAACTGAAATCTCATAATTGTAAAGACATATATGGGAAAATACTAAATAAAACAAGTCTCTGCTTTTTACTCCTCTGAAGTTCAGCTTTCAGATGCCTGTCATGGTAATTTTTGTACACTCTGATTTCTACACAATTTTTCGCAGACCCTCTTGCAACATTTTCAAAATGATGCCTCACACATATATCAGTAACAAACACTTCGTTCATTAAAAAATTCACTTACGGAGGATATTTGATAAATAAAAAACAACCTTTAAGTGTAAGATCTGAAGGCAGCTGTGGCATCCGCTGGCAAGTGATTTTCAACTGTCTGCTAACACTAATCCGTACTCACATGATACAGCCCAAACCATTACTGAGCCATTTTTGCTACATTTAAGATTTCACTTAAGAACATTACAGGTTTAAATTTAAATAAATTGTCAGATTGCCCCTCTGAAAATGTGTTCCTCTAATATTTATGCTACTAAATCTATAAAACAATTTTAAACTTTGGAGCATCTGATGCCAAGACACTCACCAAGCTGTTCCTCCACTCTCGCTTTCCCCCGGAACAGATGTTTTACCAGAGCACATCAATTACCAGCTGCCGGACCCAGATTTCCAGGCTGGCCCGTACTGCCAGTACTCAGCAGTGCCAGTGCCAGCCCTGCAGCCACCGCCAGCCCCGGCCCCATTCGGCCCCTACAGCCTGGAGCCCCCGTACGGTGACGGGCCCTGCGTGGGCAGCAGCTGCGAGCTCAGCAAGGGCCCCTTCTTGGCTCCCCAGGTGGAGGACAGCGGGGAGCAGGGCCTAAAGAGGCCCAGGTTAAACCACTCGGCGAGGCTGAAGGGGCAGGAGGAGCTGTGCGTGGTGTGTGGGGACAAGGCCTCGGGGTACCACTACAACGCACTGACCTGCGAGGGCTGCAAAGGTGAGCGAGGACACTCAGGGCCACCTGCCACAGTTGGCATTGAGGCACACAGATTTGGCTGGGCTTTGAGCTGGCTTCTAATTTGTCTAATGAAGCCCCTACAAATTTAGGAAATATTTTCACAGTCTGTATTTAATATGAGCACTTTAAGCATCTCATTTTTGCATTACTTACTGGTAGGGGAACTGTCTCATGAGGGCAGCTCTGGTCTCTGCTCTCTGTGACCAGGGACAGGACCTGAGGGAAGGGCTGGAGCTGTGCCAGGGGAGTTTAGGATGGATCTCAGGTAAGGTTCTTCCCCCAGAAGGTGCTGGCACTGCCCAGGCTCCCCCAGGGAATGGGCACAGCCCCAAGGCTGCCAAAGCTTGGAGAGTTTGGATACCGTTCCAAGGATGCACAGGGTGGGACTGTTGGGGTGTCTGCAGGGCCAGGGGATGGACTGGATGATCCTTATGGGAATAACTGTGTTTTTAAAAAGCAGATTTAAAATCAAGGTAATGTTTCCATTTAAAAAACCCAGCCATTCAAAACCAAAGGCCACTTTTAAATCCCTGTGAGAAAAAGCTGCTTAGATTCCTCCAGCCATCACCCAGTCCTCGTTCCCAGGTTTCTTCCGGCGCAGCATCACCAAGAACGCCGTGTACCGCTGCAAGAGTGGGGGGCACTGTGAGATGGACATGTACATGAGGAGGAAGTGCCAGGAGTGCCGCCTCAAGAAGTGCAGAGCTGTGGGAATGCTGGCAGAATGTAAGTGCTCCTTCATGCTGGATTATTTATTTATCACCACAGAAAAAACCTTCTCCAAAGTCAATCCCTTCCTGATGATACTGGTCTAACCTTCATTTGGTAGTAGGAAACTTAACTTTGGGGATGGTGGCACCTATGGCATCTTGGTGTGCAGAAGCCAGCAATGCTTGGGAAGTATCCCCTCACCTTAAGAGAATTGTTGTTCAAAGACAGTACAAGAAAAAATAAGGAAGTACTAACAAGAGAAGCTAAATATCCCGAGCCTTCTCAGGACAGCAGTGAGCTGATCAGATGAACTTTAGGGTTTGAAGGAAAAAAATTAAATAAAAATGGCATGATGGGCTTTGATGGAAAATTCTGATGCCTATGTCACAGAGCCACAAGGACAAAGATGACTGCAGACCCTCAGGCCTTTGCTGATGCAGAACATCAGCTCACCTGATAAAGTAACACATGGATACATTCTCTAGGAAACAGTTCATTATAGGTGACAGCTGCTGTGATGCAAGACTGAAGTTATCTCTAATAAAAGTGATGATTTTAGACTGTAATTAATTGAAAATACAAGCATTGATGGCCACTCCACACCTCACAGGTTTGCTGACTGAAGTCCAGTGTAAGTCAAAGCGACTCAGGAAGAATTTCAAGCAGAAGAGCAGTTTCCTTTGCAACATAAAGCTGGAAGATGAGGGACTGAATAGTAAGCAAGTATCATCTACAACAAGATCTGGAAAAGTGGGATATTTTTCTATTTAAAATATCTCTTTTTATCACTTATTCTTATTCCAAGTCATTGTGACTTGATTGGTTTATTTTTTTAGCAGATCCCAGAGAAGATGGAACTTACTCCAGGAGAACATCAGCTTCTTGACCACATTGTAGCAGCACACCAAAAATACACAATTCCCCTTGAGGAAGCCAAGAAGTTTGTAGGTATCCAGCACACCCAGCCTGCATTGCTAAGTCATTGTTGTCATGTATCTTGGCTATATCTAATGTTCAAATGCTCTTTTGTGCAGCTACAGGAAACTGCAAGTCCTGAGGAAAGTTTCCTCCACCTGTCTGAGACAGCCGTTGTCCATGTCCAGGTGTTGGTGGATTTCACAAAAAGACTCCCAGGTGAGTTTCTTCCTTTGGGGAACATTAGAAGAACCAAATCAAATTGATGGCATGAACCAGAGAAAAATGCAGGCTTTAAGAAGAGGCTTTTAATGGATTATTCGTACTTCTCACTTGCCATTTACGTGTCATGAGGACAACCTGGACACTTTCAGTTCAAAACTTTGCTATGATTAGATTTCTTCTCCATTTCTGACATGGAGTAGAGACATTTTCTGGAAGCACAGGGGCCCCAAAATACCACTTTGAGGGAGTTGCTATCTCACCACATTGTCTGAAATCCATTTGAGTCTGCAATTTATCATAACCACCGAATGAAAAAGCAGATGTTCCTTCAAAGAAAAAAGCAGCACAGAAGGGACTAACCAGGTGTTCTTTTTCATATTTTCCTTTCATAAAGAACAAGGAAACAAGCAATTGAATTCACTCCATTTCATGTAAAGTTGACAAAGTAACATTTGACAGAGAGGTGATAACTTTTCTTTGTAAAACTCACTGACAAAGGTCAATCACCATATCTGAAGAAGGTATTTGATGTAATTTAGCATCTCTCTGGGGCAGAGCTGAAAGAAGGGGTGAGCTGTCTGTTTTCTTGTGTTACATAACCTGCTTTGATCAGGTTTAAGAAAAAAAATCACTAAAGTTCTTTTGCTCTTGAATTACAACTGCAGACAATGAGCTTGTTAAAAGATGAACACAATTTCTAAGAGGAAAATAATATGACAATGAATGGAGTATCCACAGTCACTAAACAATGCAACAAATTTATCAGAGGTTAGGCCATGTGATATTTATCAGATATTAGGAAGAATGTTTTGATAACACCTTGCTTAGTCCCAAAATTTTTGCTTGTATCTTCCTGTGAATCTTTTAACACTGAAAACTGCCCCCTCTTTTTTTTTTTTTTTTCCTTTTAAATTGTCTAACCTGCAATCTAGCAAGAAAGATCCCAAGTCTTTGGCACATGTATCATTTAACTATGGCTCCTCCTTTCCAGTAAAGATATTTATTTTCAAAAAATCATTTTTCCACATCACGTTGAGGGCTTAAAGGCAGCCCCAGCCTTCCCTGCTTCTGAACATGCACCTTTCTCTGCAGGGTTTGAGAGTTTAGCCAGTGAAGACCAGATTGCTCTGCTGAAAGGGTCCACAGTGGAGGCAATGTTCTTGAGATCAGCCCAAATTTACAACCAAAGAATGAGCGAGTGCCAACCATCAACCAGTGAAAGTAGGTCTGAAATACTTGACTTGCATCATTGTGGGTGGATAATATCAGCTATATTAATTACATATCATACATTATGTCCAATTTAATACGAGGGACCTTGACCAATAAATACGCAACCAAAGAACTTAGAGCCAGATGCCAATAAGGATTTTATACCTTCATGGGTCTGGGAAAAATTCACACATTTTCAGCAATGATACAGACAAATATTTAAGATCACTTTAAGCTTGACTGGGAACTCTCATCTGCCTTGTTCCAGGTCATGTAAGACTTTCTGATCACGGGGCATGTTGTCATGTTCAAAACCTTGATAAAAACAGTATTTATTCCATGGAAATGTGTCATAATAAAGAGAGGCCAACTTCTACTACTACCACAGGTAATGGAGGTCTCAAAATCTAAATATGTGAATCTTTTGCTTTACTGGCCCTATTTTTATTACACTGAGCTACACTGTCCCTATGACCACTGCTCCATCTCCCCTCCTCTTCCTGTCCTCTTCCCCTCCTCTTCCCCTCTCCCTCTCCCTCTCCTCTCCCTCTCCTTTGAGCTGCACTAGCATTACCTCCTCAGGTATTACACACTGGCATAACATCCTCATGACAGGAAGAGGCATGTTCATGCTTACTTATATCCTTTGAGTTATATATACATTCAAAGCTCCACAGTACAACTGCTATACAACTTTAGTTATTATTTTAGCAATTAACATTGTTTTCACGAAGTTTGTTAACTATTTCATGCAATAGAACAGCCCCAAGCCTTAAAAGAATTAACAGAATAGCAAATTCATGGAATGGGTGAGGTTTGAAGGGACCACAGCAGGGCCATCCCAGAGCAGATGGCACTGGCTCATGTCCAGAGGGGTCTGGACTATCTCCAGTGAGGGAGACCCCGCAACCTTTCTGGGCAATCTCTTCCCTCACAGGAAAGTTCTTCCTCACATTCAGGTGGAACTTCCTGAGCAACAGTTCCTGCCCATTCCTCTGGTGCCATCACTGGTTCCTGCTTGGAGCCCTCCCTGCACACGGGGACAGGGCTGAGGGCCCCTCTCAGCTGGAGCTCCTCTCAGGGCCCAACAGCCCCAGCGCCCTCAGCCTTTCACAGAATCATGGAATCACTTAGCATGACCAAGACCTCTAAGACCATGGAGTCCAACCATTCACCATGTCCTCATAAGAAAGATGCCCCAGTCCCCTCATGACCTCCACAGCCTCAGCTGGACCCGCTCCAGGAGCTCCATGTCCCTTGTCCTGGGGAACACAGAGCCAGACACTGATCCAGATGGATCCAGGGAGGGTCACCTCACACCCTTCAGGCAAAGATGATTTGCAACTGTTTCTGCACTGAAATAACATCCTCATTATCCTGCATGGGGTTGGTTTTTTGGTTTTTTGTTTTGTTTTTTTTAAAAAAATGTTGGGGTTTTTTTTCCATTTTCAAGGCATAACTGAGGAGTTCATCACCGCCCTGTTCTACTTCTACAGAACCATGGGGGAACTCAAAGTAACCGAGACTGAATACGCTCTGCTCGTAGCAACAACAGTGTTCTTTTCAGGTAAACTGGGAAGGTAACAACGAGCTATCACTTGCCCCGGGGGAGCTCCCATTTCTCCCCTCAGGGGCAGCGGCGCTGACCGGACCCTGAGGGGCGGCGGCGCCCGGAGCATCCCGTTCACCGTGCCGCCGCTCTCCCGCAGATCGCCCACTGCTGAGGGACAAGCGCCATGTGGAAGAGCTGCAGGAGCCGCTGCTGGGGATCCTGTACAAGCACTCGAAGCTGCAGCACCCCCGGGACCCGCAGCGCTTCGCGCGGCTGCTGGGGCGCCTAACGGAGCTGCGCTCCCTCCGCCACGCCCACGCG